CCGCGTTTCCTTCGGCTTCTCCAATGGTTTCGAGGGACAAAAAAGGGAGGAACCCTGAGGCAAAAATGGCTTTTTTTGTGTAACAAGTCCAAGAAAAAAACCAAAAAAATCTCTCCATCCCAGCATCTCACAAGGGCCCTGCCATCTTCTGTGGTGGGAGGCCTTCCTCGATCCAGAGGGAGGGAGAGGAGCCGTTGCGGAGCATCCGCCTGTGGATGCGCCGGAGCCGGAGCAGGTAGAGCAGGATGGAGAGCAGGACAACCAGGAAACAGGCAAAGAACAGGTAGTGATTGTAAACGAAGGAGAAGCTCCTCCAGTGGGAGTGACTTCCACGGAAGTTTTCTTGCTGGATGTCTCTGGAAAGCAGCAGAAGGGACAACGGGAATAACTCGGGAGGCAAAATTCCACGTGCGACTTCTCTCCCCGCAGGAATGGGAGCCCATTTTAATGGCACAGCGTTTATAAAGCACAATTTGAGGTCTCACCACGCTCTTCCCCACCCCAAAACTCCCACCCCAAAGGGCTCTTCCCAAGTATTTGAGGGAAGAAGAGGTACCTTAGAGGGAGGAAGCGTGTTCGGTACAGGATGGCCCCCAGGGTCCACTGCACCTCCTTGTCATAAACCTGCAGGGCTGTTTTCAGGTTGCTGTAACCCACAGGGAAGGAGAAGCCACTGTGGAACACCTCGTACATCCAGGCTGACTTAAAGCACTGGTACCTACAGCAGGGAGAGCGGGATGGGGTCAGGAACTGTCAGGAACAGCAGGATGAGGTCAGGGGAGCAGTTACAGCGCCCCAGGGCATCGGGGAGCACAGTCAGCCCTGCAATTATCAGGGCTTTTTAAAGGCTTTATTGGCACTTGCAGTGATTTATTTTTGCCCTCCAGGGCTGGCCTGGCAGCTCTGCAGGAGGGAGTTTGCTGGGCAAACACAAAACACTCACTTCAGCCTGTGCAGGTCGGCGTGAGAGGCGTAGAGACCACGGTCGAAGCGCTCCCGGAGGACAGACCACTTAGTGGCACAATAATCCTGCAAGGGAAAGCAAAAAAAAAAGGCAAAGAAAATCAACATTTCAACGGTGCTTCTGCCTCCACCAGGACAGACCACTTAGTGGCACAACAATCCTGCAAGAGAAAAAAAAAAAGGCGAAGAAAATCAATATTTCAACAGCGCTTTTGCCTCCACGAGGTAAAAATGCCACGGGGTGAGATGCTCTGAAACACCTGAACAGCCTCCCTGGCACAGATCACAAATTTCATGAGTATTTTCTTTAAATTTGTAACTCAGAGTTTGGGTTAAATTAATGTTCAGTACCACTTAAGCACTTTGGAGGTGGAAAATAGACAAGCTGTTTTTAAGGCCTCAGATAATTGTCTTATTCCTCTGCTTTATGTTGTAGTTTTACCTGTCCCCAGCAGATTGATCCCTTTGGGAATAACACCTGGAAAACTGGCACAGAATGTATAAAGCAGGAGGAAAAGGATCTTTTTTTTTAATGATTAAGGCATTCCTAAAAAGAAGCAAGGGGTGGAAGCAAGGATGGATTTTCCCATTATCAGTAATTCTGCTGGAACTTGATACCACAAATCCCATTCCCTGTGAAGTCAATTTTACTATTGTGCCTTAAAATCTTCTAAATGAAAACCCAACCACGGAATCCTGGAATGGATTTGGGTTGGAAGGGACCTTGAAATCATCCAGTTCCACCCCCTGCCACAGGCAGGGACACCTTCCACCAGACCAGGAAGCTCCAAACCCTGTCCAGCTTTGGATGAGGAATTAAGAGCCCTGTGAGGGTTCATTGCAGGGAAAAAAAAAAGGATTTGGGACCTCTGAAGGAAAAAGTTTTGCTGCAAGACTTCTGGACCAAAATCCTCCTCGAGGGTGGATGTTTTGAATTAAGAAAACTAAAAGGCAGAAAACAATCTCCAGCACATTTTACCTTGGCAGCTTTAGCGAATTTAGCAGCGTTGTAATCTCCTCCCATCCTCAGCACATCCTCTGTGCAGTAGTAGAACTCGGAGAATCCATAGAATTCGCTGTTCTGGAAGTGCACAGCAGGCTGGTAAACCCCGTTCAGGGAGGTCTGGGTCTCGTTGGTCTTGTTCATGAAGGGCTGGATCAGCTCCCGGCACAGGTGGAAATCTCCCGTTCCCCGCAGGTACAGGGACTGCCCGTTCTGCTGGATCTCATCCTGAGCATCCAGGGGCAGGCAGGGATCCAGCACTGGGGAATCAGAGCTCAGGCCAGTCTGTCTGCCCAGCAGTCTGTGGGCAAGAGCAAAGAGCAGGTCAGAGAGATGGAGCTCTGAGACCCAACAGCACCGATCAAACCCCCCCTGAGCAAGGAAACCTCAGGGTGGGAATTCAGCTTTGTGTCACTGGTGAGCACAGAACCCTCATCCCAGCATGGTTTGGGCTGCAAAGGACCTGAAAATCACCCAGTGCCACCCCCTGCCACAGGTAGGGACACTTTCCACTAGCCCAGGTTGCTCCAAGCTGGCCTTGGACATTTCCAGGGATGGGGCAGCCACCCCCTGCCAGAGTCAATCCCCCAGGTACCTGTTTTTAAGCACTGTGCTGGCAAACAGACTGTCCTCATATCTCTGCCGGGCTGCATTCCCTCCAAATCCAAGGAATGTGGCCACGTAGACCCTGTACACGTGCTCTGTCTGATGGGCATCACAGCCCAGGTTGAATTCTGCCAGGAGGTTCTTGGCCACTTCCTCCTGCAGCAACAACAAGCAGCAAGATTAGGGGTGAACAGGATGAAAAGCAGGACCTAAAACGAGTTCTTTGGACAACTGGGTGTCTGGGACATCTTTTGACTTCACCCCCCACTCATCTGTTCTGCTTCTCCCAGGTCAACAGAGAATCCCAGGGAATTAGGGTGGGAAAAGACCTTTAAGATCATCAACCCACCACCGTGTTCACCACTAAGCCACGTCCCCAGGTGCCACATCCACATATTTCTAACACCTCCAGGGATTAGGACTCCATCACTGCCCTGGACAACCCTTTACAACCCCAATATTTCCAGAGTTTTCCTCAGGGATGATCATCTCCCCCCTCATTTGTACCAAACCAAGGGAATCACCTTCTGCTTCACAAGGAAAGCAAAATATTAATTGCAGAGAACTGCACTGGCACTCCAGGAACTCCAAAGACCAGGAACAGCCCCCAAGGACCCTGAAGTATCTTCTCCCATGAAAAAAATGTGTGTTGTGGCCACTAAACTCAGTGTTCCCACCCCAGAGTGAGTCCCCCCTTTGCACTGATTGCCAGGACAGGTTTAATGACCAAAACACCCATTTTATAGCAGTTTATGTTCAGACAGAGCCATCAATAGTCACCCAAATGCCCAGCTCATCTCTGCCTGGGGCATTCTGCTCTGGATCTAAACACTGAACAGCCCCAGTTCTTTGTTACACCACCTGTCTGGAGTTATTAAAACCTGGAACCACGAAAACACATCATTTCACAGGGAGGCTTCAAAAAATCAGTATACAGATCATTACAACAGTGCACTGAGAGCCAAAACACGGGGCTTTCATGCTGTTGTCACTTTTTAACTCTCAATTAATTTAATGGGAGGTTCAACCTTAAAAATTCAGGATTTGCTTAAAACTCAGCGGAGCTGGAGCAATTTATATTCAATTTGAGACTTGTAACAAAGCAATTTGCTTCCTGCAAGAGCTGAACTGTGCTGAGGGTGTGGGTGATATTTAAACAAACCTGTCACCCCCGTGTCCTGTGACTTCAGTCTCTCCCAACACAACTTGAAGGACAAAGTCACTCTTATATAAGCTCTTACATAAGAGCCACCACATATTTTTGGTTCCTGAGCTCCAGAATACCAGTTTTTTTACTGCCTAACAGATTTAAAACTAAACATGCACACACACACATAGAATAAAACTCAAAAATGAGTGGCAGATTATGGGAATGGAGGGGTGAACAAAACACAAATGAGTTCTTAGCTGGTGGAGGATTCCCGTCATCGCCTCCGGCCTTGCCTGGGGAATGTGATGGGATGGAGGACTCAAAAAACGAAGAAAACAAAGAGGAATATGCATTAAAATAACTCCAAAGGCAAAGAGGAAAGTTGCACAGATAATAACCTGCTGTGAGGAGGCAAAGCTTACAGTTTTAGGGACTTCGTACGCGATCTGGGTGGACACTCCGCCCATGTCCAGGATACCCACAGTCCTCTTACGGAATATGGACTCCTGGTGCTCGCTGCCCGGGATGTGAACCTCCACCATGGCCTCCTCCTCTGCAGGGAACAGGGAAAAATCAGAGGGATGCAGCTGGGGAGGGCCCAGAGCTGGAGCTGCTGCTGGGGAGCTGCTCGGAGGGAGGGCGGGGAAGGGGCACGTGGGAGTCGAGGCAACGCGGCACCCGCACGTGGGGCAGGGACAAACAGCTGGATGGGAACAGCCCAGGGACAAACAGCTGGATGGGAACAGCCCAGGGACAAAGAGCTGGATGGGAACAGTCACTACATCTGGCTGGGAACAGCCCAAGGACAAACATCTGGCTGGAAACAGTCCCAACATCTGGCTGAAAATACCTTGGGGCAAACAGCTGGCTGGGAACACCCCAGGGACCAACAGCTGGCTGGAAACAGTCACCAATATCTGGCTGGGAACACCCCAGGGACCAACAGCTGGCTGGGAACACCCCAGGGGCAAAGAGCTGGCTGGAAACAGTCCCAAAATCCAGCTGAAAACACCCCAGGGACAAATATCTGGCTGGAAACAGTCCCAACATCTGGCTGAAAATACCCCAGGGACAAACAGCTGGCTGGGAACAGTCACCAACATCTGGCTGAAACCACCCCAGTCACCAAAATTTGTCTAAAAGCAGTCACCAACATGTCTGAAAACACCCCAGTCCCCAGTCTCTGTCTGAAAAATCATCCCCTAAAGCACAGGACTTGACCTCAAGTCCCTCCCAGATCCCCCACCCAGAATTCAGACACTCACCATCATCTGTGTGTTCAAACCTTCCCAGGACAAAGTTGATACCAATCCATGCATAGACTCCTGCATGTACAAGGAAAGATATTTGGATATTACAGGAATAGCTGGAATATCAACTTAAAAATAAAGAGGTTTTTTTTCCTATATAAGTTAAGACATATTACTGCTCACAGTTTATTTTATACAACACTTAGAAGTTAAACCTGCCTGAGAAATCTTTAATTCCTGACAAGTTACTCTAGTCCTTCTCTCCAAGGCTGTGATAATAATCTTAACTGAATGTATTTAAGATAGTTTGATGGTTTAACTTTAAAAGAAGCTAAGCATGTTGGTTTTTAAAGTGATTTTAAGCCTTCAGTGAGCTGATCACATCAACATCTCTCCCTTAGAAATCATTTCACCCTGAAAAGCTTCTTCCAGCAAGAATGTTGTGCTTTCTCCTTCTCCCTCCCTCCCTCCCTAAGAAAATGGATGAAATTCCTGCTAAACCCAGCCAAGTTATTTTCACTGTTCCTCAGAAAACATTTAGAAGATCCCAGGGGCTGAGCAGCTCCACGCTCCATATGTTGCTAGTGAGGAAAAAGGGCTCCCGAGCAAAGCAAAATTCAAAAAAATTAAAAAAAAAGCAGCCAAACTACCTTGAAAGCAGTAAATATTTTAAAGATAACCTTGGGAAAGTTCACTTACCTTCCTGCTTGCCTGAAATCACCTCTGCATGCGAGTCAGAGAACAGGAAATCAAACTGCACGGGGATATCAGTGAGCAAGTCTTCAAGTATTGCCTTTTGCTGGCTGCAAAATCCCATTGGGAAGGGTTAACACCAGCCAGAGCCACCAGGATGGGAGCTCCAAATCCCAAAAAAATAAGGCAGGCACCCACCTCTCGGGCAGGATCCTCATGCCTGCAGTGCACAGGATGTACAGAGGGGTCTCCTTGTGCTTGGCACGGGGCACGTGCTCGGCAGCGAAGCTCAGGAGTGGAGAGATGTAATCGCTGACCTTCTCAGGAGAGCTGGCAAACTCCGAGATCCCTGGGGAAAAATGGAACATGGAAGGGAAGCAACTCAAGTTTGGGGCATTGCCTGGGAAATCCTGAACACCAAGAGGCAGAGAAATGAATAATCCAGCCTGTAAACCCCAAGATCGGTCTGAAAAGCCCAAGCGAAAAGTGGGGAATCAACTCTAGGAAAATCAGAATGAAATTCATCCTTAACCATCCTCTAAACAACAAATAAAAGTGTAATAATAGAGATATAACACCTTTTTCTATAATTATTTATGTAACTGGTTCAAACAGCTTTACAGGAAGGCAGTGATTTATTCACTCAATAAAAAGGAATAAAGTGAAATGACAACTGAACCAGCAGCTGGTTTGTCCATGGAGAAACCTCTCCCCCGGCCCTGTTTCAGGTTTTAAAGCTCAACAAAACCCCCTGCAAACCAAACCCAAAGAAATCTGGAGGAGTTCCACCCTCACAACCTGCAACTCTCCTTCCTCCAGCCACTGGGGGGGGTTGAAAAGCAGAAGTGAGGAGAGGAAACTCTGTAGGAAATCCCATTCCACTGAATTTTTTCCCATACCTGGCTTGATTTTCATGACCACGGGTTTCCTGTTCTTGTCCCTCATCTGTTTGATGTCCAGCAGGTCGTGGGGGTTCCCGTTGTGCCTGGGCCAGCAGTACACAAAGATCCTGGAGCCACTGCTGCCACAGTCCACCACGATGCCATAGTTCAGGTTGGGGTTGGCCGTGTCCGTGGCTTCCGTGTCCGTCACCCGGGCGAGATACCTGGGAAAGAACTGGGAATTACTCCAGGGCAACTCAGCTCTGCTCAAAATCAGACTCAAAACGGGACAATCACACAGTTCTCAGAGGATCCCAGGATGCTTTGGGTTGGGAGGGAGCTTAAAATCTTCCCATTCCACCCCTTTCCACGGGCAGGGACACCTCCCACTAGCCCAGGTTGCTCCAAGCTGGCCTTGGACACTTCCAGGGATGGAGCAGCCACAGCTTCTCTGGGAATTCCAGCCCTGGGAATGCCCACCCTCCCAGGGAGGAAGAATTCTTTCCCAATATCCCATCTAAACCAGCACATGGAATCATGGAATGGTTTGGGTTGGAAGGCACCTTCAGGATCATCCAGGTCCACCCCTTTCCATGGGCAGGGACACCTTCCACTAGATCAGGCATATTTTATAAACATTATATATTAATACATGATGTATTAATATATATTAAGTATTAATACACATTAAGTATTAATACATAATGTTGTTAATATATATCATATGGATTACTTGTATACTATATTAATATATAGTATATACATTAATGTATTATATTATACATTAAAATATATTTTATCTATTACATATTATCTATTAATACATATTATTAACATAAATATATATAGTGCCCATGACTTATATACTATATTAATATATAGTGTATATTAATGTATTATAATATACATTAAAATATATCTCATCTATTATATATACACTATTAATATTATCATATATTATTAATATATAATTATTAGTATTGATATTATTAAATTATTAACATTATTAATATTAATATATGTAGTGCCCATGACTTATATACTATATTTATAGTATATATAAATGTATTTTATTATACATTAGAATATATTTTATCTATTACATATTATCTATTGCATATTATTTATTATTATACATACTATATATTATATACATACATATGCAAAATATGTTATATATGTATATACACATACATAATAGATCCATAATATATAGTATATTACACATACTATATATTATATATATATATACATAATATGTATATACATAATATATACATAATATATTATATATATTTTATATATACACATAATATAGTATATTATATATAATATAATATATATAATATAGTATATATTATATAATATAT